CTCTCTATATATATATATTCTTAGACATGCATATACACATATACCTATCCACACATATATACATATACATATACAAAAATACATGTAAAACATCCAAAAACCCAAGTTTAAGTTAATTTTCTTTGAAATAGATGTTATTTTAGAAATCCGAAGTGATTGTTGTGTCTGTATTTGAAGACAAGTTCGTTTCGTTGATTATGTAGTTCGTTGGTGTTTTCATATTTAATTATAAGGATTTTTTCTTTGATGCAGAGATCCCATATGTCCCTGAAGATGTTGGGAGATCGGACCTTACAGATGCTGCTCCATTTCAATTGTGGGGTGAAATCTCCATCAACAAGGTCCTTATAGTGTTTTGACAAGGCTGTCTGCTATCTTAAGTATTTGCTGTTAAAGGAATGCCGGTGATAGTAGAAACGTTGCTTCCAATTTCCCGCTGAAATTCCGATGTGAATTTTTTCTGATTTACATTTTCCTTTGGAAAAATCGTACCTTCATATATCAGATTTTCCTAAGTCCAAATACCTCACACTGGACAAACAGCTTTAACTCTACAGTTACAGGGAGGTTTGTTCCTCCGTGTCTCACTGTCATGAAATTTTCTTAAGATATGATTGTTGTGGGAATTAAACATGAGTAACTGATTTTTTAAGGTTTTTCTGTTGAATATTTTCTTCAAAGGATTGTTATTATTAATAAAGTGTCTGTCTATTATCTTTAAAAAATATTTGCCAATATTGATGCTGGATAATCTGCACAAGGGTGGGTCAAACCATATTATCTTCCTTTTTCTATTTTTTATTAGGTGTATCGTTTTTTAGATTTTGTTAGTAATTAAGCTCATGTGTAAAATTATTTTTTCTAAGGACTTGATTATATGTGAATTTATTTTCATTGAAATTTTTTCTATTAGATAATAACTTATTGATTCTGGTATTGACAATATTAGGAATTTGGTTAAAAACTTATTTCGGGTGGTAAGATTGGACGTTGATATATATGGAGATTGATTTTGTTTATAAAAGGGCTTGAAAGTATCACTGGAAATATTGATATATATATATATATATATATATAAATAAATATTGAAATATATATATATATAAATATTAAAATTATATATATATATATACACACACACACCATCGTACACATATATAAACATACATGCATACATGTGCTTACGCACACAGACGTGTACATAAATACATGCACATATATATAAACACAAACACATATATACATACATACGAAAACATATATATACATACATATATATACGTATATACACAGACATATATATATATGTATAAATATATGTATGGACACACACACACACACACATATATATATATATATATATATGGAAACAAATGTATATATATATATATACACATCCATATATATATACATCTATATAATATATGTAAAAGCATACTATATTATAAACATATATATATATATACATACATACACTCATATATAAACACATAGATATACATAATCTCATATACTTACACACATATAATATATATATACAGATGTGTATGTGTATATATATATATATATATATGCACACACATATAGATTATACACAGAACCACACACACACATATATACATACATACACACTCATATATATTCACATATATACGCACATACATACACACACATATATATATATATATATATACATATATTTGCAAATGCACACACATATGTACAGAGTTGCAAACTCATATATATATATATATATATAACTCAAACTATTTTGTAAAATTTTTTCTTTCATATAAGCAATATAGCTTTCCCTTTTTTAAGTCAACTGCTGATGGCCTATTGCTGAAAGTGTCCATTAAGCCTTACATAAGAATGGTGATTCTTGTGCTGTTGCTTTGTATATCTCAAAGTCATTTGACAGGGTTTGGCATACTGGTCTTCATAAACTGAAAGCTTTTGGCATTTATGGCTGAATTTTTGAAAGGATTCAGTTTTTTTTTTAATCAAGTCACAAAATGAATGTTATCTTGAATGGCCACTATTCTAGATCATTTTGCATCTGGGAAAATGGATATGAAGTGAGTGAAACAGGTATACTTAAAACAGAAATTGATTGATACGAACTGACGGTGACTGATATCTATGAAGAGACAACTATATAGAGGAAAATAGACATGAGCATGCTTAGGTAGATAGATATGAACTGAGAGAAATAGGTGGAAAATTCTTCTCCACCTGAGGAATTTTAGGATTTCAGAATTGGTGAATGAGTCTTGAAAATATGGTGTCAGGTTGTGAAAGTTAACTCTAGTTAATGCTGTCAGACTTACCAAAATACTAATACATGACACCCTATCCAAATTTAGATTCAAATCATTTCTTATTTCTCTATAGCTTGGAGGTAACTTAGTTATAAAAAAAAACAAAACAAAAAAACAATTTTCACCACCACCCATCTCATCCTCACTTTGAAATTTTTTTAAAAAGGTCCTTTACAATTGTGAGGACCAAAGTAGTTGATTGTTAAGATGATGTCCCAATCTAACATTATACTTTATGCTTATAAAATCTTTATGCAATTTATGTTTTGGTAAAGTTTTCTTCAATACAGTAGAGTGCCTCATATCTGGAATCATGCATATCCACATATGATATTGATGTGTATATTTGAACAATTTGGGTGAAATATAACTGATTTGAAATTTGTTTTTCAGAAAATTTATTTGGATAATTGTTATTTCACCCTAATGGCTTGTATTGGTGCAAAAGTTGATGGGAATAAAAGAAAAACTTGCAAGTTATTGCAAAAAGTGAAAATTTTAAACAGATTAGATGCTGTGAAAGTTCATTGCAACCCAATGGCTGAATTCAGCATAGGAAAGTCAACATTGTATGATTTAAAATCTTCCAAAGAAACTATTCTCCAGTGTTCTGACAGTCACAATGAAAAAAATAAACATGATTGTGACGAAACCTGGACTGAAATTGAAAAAGCTATTAAAAAGGTTGTCAGTTTCATGGAAAGAAAGCCAGCATTCAGCTATGACGATTTGCAATAAGGCATACAGAGTTAAAAAAAAAAAAAAAAAAAAAATTAATTTAATTTTAAAAAATTAAGAACAAAAGCAAAATGAAATGTGGAAAATGTTGAGAATGACATTAGAAGAGAAAGAATCATCATGCAACAGCGATTAAAAAATTTTATTTGTTTTGCATACATGGCATATTTAATTTAATGAATTTTTATTAACATTACATAATTTTTTTTTTTTCCTTAAAATCTAATCATTATATTTCACTCACCATTAGCTTAATTTGTTTACTATAAAACAGTGAAAATAAATGTTAAACCTGATTTCAGTTCTTTTATTTTAATCTAAATATAATCCCTCATATACAGGTGGCCTTCTTAGCCTGGTTGTCAGGGATCCTACAGTACATAAATTTAAAATATTTTTCTGTGGGTTCAATTTCTTTATTGCTGTAGGAAACTGATATTTTTTAAAAAAAATGTAACAAGAAAATGAAGGGAAATGAAGAATAAGAAAAAGAAAAAAAATATATAATTACAACAAAGAGTTAAATTGAAAAATGAATAAAGTATAAATAAAAATAAAATATAAAGAATAAAAATAAAGTAAAAATAAAATATAAAGAATAAAATACAAATAAAAATACAAAATAAAATAAAATACAAAGTATAATGTAATGTCAATCCTTATCTTGTCTTAAATTCTTGTTTTTTTTTTTAATATTAAAAAAAGAAACAGAATAGAAAGAATAATGGTTATTATGCATCTAAGCTGATGAATATGAATTGAGTGCGGCAGGTATATTTAAACAGAAATTGATTGATATGAACCGACAGTGATTGATATCTATGAAAAGACCAATATATAGAGGAAAACAGACATGGACATGCTTACATAGACAGAGATAGACTGACAGGGATAGGTGGAAAATTCCTCTTTATCTGAGGAATTTTAGGATTTCAGTAGGAAAAGGTGTTATAAATTGATAGATTCAATAACAATCCTTTCTGTCTGAATATCTGTGAATAGGAGTTATCATTATCTATATTTGATATACACCTGATGAAGGTTAGAGTGCATAATGGCTGAAACGTGATAACAACAACAAAGTTGAGAACTATAGTCCAAATATAAACAGTGTAAATAAGGTATTCCTGATTGGAATTGTTTTTTGTCTTTTATTAGTAGTTTTCAGCCATGGAAGAATTAACCAAATCCTGGCATAGAATTTTAGTTAGTACCATGGACTGGCAATTCAAAAATGTTGGTATGCTGATTTATCTAGTAACTATCATTCTACAATGTACTTTTTTAGTCAATCTTAGGTTTGTTTGTTTGTTTAATGACTTATCAATCTTTGAGATCATTTAAGGTCAAACAATTGTTTTCTTTTTTGGGGGGGGGGGATAAAGTTGAATTGCTTTCAAAAATTTTTTTTCAGTGTTGTCTTGCTTTTTTAAAAAATATCCATTGCTTTCAGAGTTGTGTTGTTTTCAGAACTTTTCACCTGGTAAGGGTCAAAAGGTCCCTTTTTTATCGTTAAATATTTAATTGGCATTATATTTTTTTTGTATAGTTTAACTTTTTTAAGAAAGGTTAGGTTATGAATGTAATTATATTGTGTATAGTTTTTTTATTTTTATTTTATTATCAGCTTTTAGGAAGGTTTCCTGTAGGCAGATGATAGTGGGGAGATGATTCGTTATAAGAAGAATTAGATTGTTTATATTTGGTTTTAAGCCCCGACAGTTCCATTGTATAATTTTTTGAATCATGAAAACTTATGAGGATTTACTTGTCTTTTGTAATAGAGATGTCCAATGTTAGAAGGTGGTGACTGACATTTGGAATTATGTTTGAAAAGAGAGCAGTTGACATTTCTTGAACACATTAAGCTCTATTAATATGAAGTTTGCTTTCAAATGCCATTTTGTTTTATTTTCATATCTTCCATAGAAATGAAGTAATTTAAAATGAAAACTGCACATAAACAACATAGAGATGGGAGGAGATCGAGAGAAGCTGAAACCGACTGATATTGACTGACTGAGATAGAAAAATAGACATTAACAAGCTGAGATGAGAGCAAGAAGGGAGATGAGGAGGAGGGAGGTTAGGAGAAGGAGGCAAGGAGGGCGAGGATGGAGGTAAGGAGAGCAAGGATGAAGATGAGGAGAGTGAGGTAAGGAGATGGAGGTAAGGAGAGCGAGGAGGGAGATAAGGAGAGCGAGGAGGGAGATAAGGAGAAGGAGGCAAGGAGAGTGAGGATGGAGGTAAGGAGAGCAAGGATGAAGATGAGGAGAGTGAGGTAAGGAGAAGGAGGGAAGGAGAGTGAGGATGGAGGTAAGGAGAGTGAGGAGGGAGATAAGGAGAAGGAGGCAAGGAGAGCGAGGAGGGAGGTAAGGAATATGGTGAAAAGTGACAAATGGTCAGAAATGACAGAAAAAAAAAATCACTATTCTAGTTAATGCTGTCAGATTTGTTGAAATACCAATACATGACACCCTATCCAAATTTAGATTCAAATCATTTTTTATTTCTCTATAGCTTGGAGGTAACTTAGTTAAAAAAAAAAACAAAAAAAAAAAAAAAACAATTTTCACCATCACCAATCATATCCTCCAAAAAAAAAAAAAAAAAAAAAAAAAAAATGAAATTTAAAAAAAAAGTCCTTTCTGATTTTAAGATCTCAAGTAGTTGATTGTTAAAATAATGTCCAAATCTAATACTGCATTTTGATGTTTATAAAATCCTTGTGCAATTTGCGTTTTGGTGAAGTTTTAATAGATAAATTTTAAATATTTTTCTGTGGGTTCAAAATTTCATTTCAAGTGATTTTTAAAAAAAATATATAACAGGGAAATGAAGGATAAGTAAAAAGAAAAAATATATAATTACAATAAAAATTTAAATTGAAAAATGAATGTAAATAAAATAAAAATAAAATATAAAGAACATAAATGAAATAAAAATAAAATAAAAATAAAAAGAATAATGTAGTGTCAATCCTTATCTTCTGTCTTTTTAGTACTAAAAAAGCAACAGGATAGAAAATATAAAAACTAAAATAATAAGAATAAAATATAAATAAAAATAAAAAGAATAAAAAAGTAGACTCATTATAATTTTTTTACTGAAGAGAGAGAAACTCATCAGCTTTTCTATCCTTTCCCTTTTTTATTTCAATTTTTTTCATGCTACAATTCACCTTTTAAGGTTGACAATCTTCAAAGTTTAGAATCACTCTTTAAAATGATGGAAAGGGGTGAAACGGCCAAAAAGAAAAGTTGAAAACCACTGCCTTTGATAGTTCAAAAAATATTAGTGATGTCTGTGTATAGCAAATAACAAAAATGTAAATCTGGGAATATTGTTGATAAAATATATTAAATGGTCGGCAGTTTATATTTTTCTTCAGATTTATGAATATTCAAAAATGTTCTGGACAGAAAAAAAAAAAAAGTTTGTAAAATCTTTTGCAGGCTTTTTTTCATGAAGGTAAAAGAAACAAGAGATGATTTTTATAATAATGCATTCAGTAAGCAAGAAACATATATGAAGGCAAGGAGTGGTAGACTTCGAGTGATGCTCATAGCAGTGTTACATTTTGGTTCATTACAGAAACAGTAATTCAATTTGGATCCATACTGATCGTAATATTGGTGGCATCCGATTTGATTAAAAAGTCCATCACGAGTTGATAAATCAATCCTTGGATCTGCGGAAAGAGAAAAAGAAAGAGATGAATTTAGGTACAATCAAACGTGTGATGTCTTATAGTTAGTTATCATTTAGGTATCAACCAAAGGAGTCGGTAGAAACAAAAAAAAAAAAAAATTCTGTGTGCCAACACTAAATTCAATCATAAATCTGTCGTAAATGGTCTGGCAGTAAACATAGTAACAAAAACAGGGTCAGTAATCCAACCTTCCCCTCGCAACAGCAGAAATACACTTTCACTTACCAAGCTCAAAATTATTCTCATCCCAGTAAGCCAAAAAAAAGCAATGGCCTTTCTTCACCAAACAATTTTTCTGATTGGCCACAACATTTAGGGAGGAAATAACATTAGCATAGTTTCTCTGATACTTAAAGTAGCAGCTTTTTGCTATTTTCTTTAATTCTTCTACGGCAGGCCATACACAAAACGCAAAATCTTTTTCAAGGAAGGTGATTTTCTCTTTTGTTACAGTTATACACTATAGGCTGAATGACTGGAGTGGGGACATGATCTGGATTGAATAATTTATAAGTTTCATAAAATTTAAAGATGGCCAGTCGTCTTGGGTATGACGATAAACTACATCCGGCAGCAAGGCCTTTGATCAGGAGGTTTTGAAGAGTGCAGAACCACCTCTTAATTACTGTTGTTGCCAGATCCACCCTGACTTGGGTTGGTAGCACCTGTTAGGGTCCCTGCTATGGGCAAATAGTTAATCCCCAAACTGGCATCAAAACACTATGAAAGTAGAGAAATAGATTTTTATAGTAAAATAATAGCAATATATTTAAAAGAAAAAAAAACATCACCAGCAATACATTTGGCTCTTTACAAAAATACATCAACGAAATCTGATCTACAAACTGATTTCTTACAAAGAATACATATTCTATTCATACAAATCTCTCCTAAAAATCTTGACAGCATTAAATAACCCACTGAGGTTGATATGCTAGAAATCAAACTAAGCTGAAGCTAGTAATATTTTTTTTTCTCAAAAACCTATTGCAAGTAATATTTTTTTTCTTTCAAAAACCTATTGCAAGTAATATTTTTTTTTTCAAAAACATATTGCAAGTAATATTTTTTTTTTCAAAAACATATTGCAAGTAATATTTTTTTTTTCAAAAACCTATTGCAAGTAATATTTTTTTTTTTCAAAAACCTATTGCAAGTAATATTTTTTTTTTCAAAAACCTATTGCAAGTAATATTTTTTTTTTTCAAAAACCGATTGCAAGTAATATTTTTTTTTTCAAAAACGTATTGCTAGTAATATTTTTTTTTTCAAAAACGTATTGCTAGTAATATTTTTTTTTCAAAATCGTGTTGCTGGCAATATTTTCTTTTTTCAAAAAACATGTTGCTGGTAATAGTTTTTTCTTCAAAAATTTATTCCTGGTAATAATTTTTTTACAAAGTTTTTCTGATATTAAAAACTGTTTTTACACTTTCATAGTGTTTCTACTCCAGTTTCAGGGTTAACTATTTGCTACCATTGCTGGGACCCAAAACAGGTGCTACCACCCCGGGTCATGTGACCAGAGAACACCAGCAAGAAGTGGTTCCATGCTCCTCAAAACCTCCTAAAAAGAGGCCTTGCTGTTGGATGTAGTTTGTCATCTGACCCAGGACGCGGATGTAGTTTATTGCCATACAAAGGACGAGTTTCTTTTATGAGAGAGTTTCAAAGAATATGCAAAAGATAAAATCAAAATGTTTCTTTTTTTCTCCTTTAATTAATCCAGATAAAGTTTATAAGATTTACTTTTATATAAGCTTCATTAAGGCGACCTCTGCTTGAGGTATCAATTACAGGCTTTTCATAAAATTCTATCACTTTTGAATGCAAATTACGAATGAGATTGTGAATTTTAACTGTTCTGAGTAGCATATAATGATTTATGTACAGTGCCACAATTAGTAGCATGAAAAGTGGGATTGGTATTTGGGGTTCAAATACCAGCTAAGATGTCTGTCTTTGTGTATGTGGATATATAGACGTCTCTGTGTATGTGCGTGAGTGTATGAATATATAGATGTCTGTGTGTGTGCGTGTATATATATATATGTATATATATATATATATATATATATATATATATATATATATATATATACACACACACACAAACACATACATACATACAGGTGTGTGTGCGTGTTTATATGTGATGTAATTAATATGCATACACCTGGGTTCCCCCTCACAGTAATATGATTGGCTGGTGTCAGCCATAAATACAGGTTGATGTGGAGGTACAGGAGGATGTCTATAGTCTTCGACTTTTGCCTATGCCTATTGCCTACCACTACGATGAGGACCAGTCCATTACGGTTACCTGCTAGATTGTCCTACCTGGTTACAGTAGTCCAAAACCACTTTGCTACTTCGAAGAAATATATCCCTTTTCGGGACATATCAATATGGATATATAGATTTGTGTGTTTATATGGATACATAGATGTGTCTGTGTGTATTGCTATATATATATGAGAGAGAGAGAGAGACAAAAACAGAGAGATAGATAGGGGTGTGTGTATGGATATAGAGGATGCACAAGCCATGAATTCATAAAGAGGTTCAATCAACATCAAACTTCATTTAGGATAAATAAATCCAGAAATCAGACATCCCTTTCAAAATATTTCTGGCACTTAAAAGAATCTAATAAAACACCTACAATAAAATGGAAATTAATAAGAAAAGCTAGAATATGTAGGTCATTAAATGACCCATGTCCTTTGTGCATACATGAGAAACTATATATTACGAAGTTTATAAAAAAAAAAATTTACTGTATCAAAGAAATGAAATAACTATTCTTTGCCGTCATTGTCAAAAGTTTTCCTTAAATAATATTTAAAAATAAAATAAAAAAATGGGAGCTGGTAATATACATAATTATATTTGATATGAAAAATAGTTTTAAATAATGTAAGTAATTCTATTACATTTACTTGATTTAAAAAGAAATATAGTGTATTTGTAATTAAGAGTAAAAATATTTTAAAATTGTAGTTAAATATAATGTATTCTAAACCAAACACCCCTTTTAGAAAGAATCTAAGTATACAAGTGCGAAAAAAATGTCGAAAACCTTTTCATTGTTAATAATAAAAAAAACAGATGACATGCGTTTAATGGATGTCAGAATTCATTGAAAAATACACCCCTACCCTCCTTAACCTCTTTTTCGAATGTAACTCATAATTGATACAATAATAGTTAATAAAAATGAACACGC